TTATCTTATGTGAAGCACTTTATAACTTGTTTTTTTAAAGTGCTCCACAGTAAACATTATTATGAGTAGCAGTATTAGTGTGTGTTAGTATTATCTCTGCATTATGAGCATGTCAGTGACCAATATGTTAAATATGTAAAATGTATAAATATACTCTTCAAATCAAGACTAAAACACCTTTTCCAGCAATTGCATACCCCACCTAAACTACTCTCACAATTGTCTTTTTCGTATCTGTTTCTTGTTTCTTACTGTTTTTATTTTTATGTGTTGTACGGTGTCCTCGAGTGCCCAGAGAGGCGCCTTTAAATAAAATGTATTATTATTATTTATATGTACTCTCCTATGTCTTTCCTCCAGTGACACTACAAGTCTTGGTTTTGCTCCTTCTTATGTGCTATTTGTTAAACTCTTGAGATAGCTGGCTGTCTGATCACCAGCTTTGTAACACAACAAATCAATAAATTAATAAAACTCAGATTGCATAACTGTTTAATGATATATTCAGGTTATACCAACAATTTATTACAGACACTTTTTTTCATATTTTTACATCACACAACCGTGGGCACAGTCTCAAACTGTCACTGTGCCGGATTTTAGGATCTAAGACGAAATGCACAAATTAGACTTTTGTGTGATTAAATATTTGAATTATCTTAAATGTTTGTAGAGTTTCAAATACACCTATCCACACCTTTAGTGAGTGTATCCTCTGCTCAATAGTTTTGAACATCCAACAATATATTGTCTGGCTATCTTTGACTGGATTTAATTATTTAGCCTTTTTAATTCCCCCCCAATATATTATGCAGACAAAATGCTGCTTGTAAGTGCCCAACGATTTACTCTAATCTATCTAGTACACAAAATAGTGCAAAATAAAAAAATGTCTGGTGCTCTCATCATGGTTTATTTTTTTATAAGAAAAAATATTCTCATAGTATATTATATTATTATATAGTATATAAAGTATTTTCAAACATACATTTACATTTATTTGCTAAAACAGCAAAAAAATAGTCAGAGAGATGAAAGAAAGTGAAAGAAAGTGAGGGGGAAGATCTTCAAACGTCGCAAACCAGCAAATGTAATGCTCCCTGGTCTGACGGTTCATTGTCCAGTAGCGTGTTCAGTAAAGGAAGATGTTTTGAAGAAATATGCAGATAGTTGTCAAAATCACTCCTGCAATGGCTGAGGCCTGTTCTGGAGCTGCAACAGATGAGAGGAGAGACAGTTGTGTGTACATTTTAAATTTCAAAAAGTTGAAAAATACAAAAAAATAGATCCTGATTATCAATAACAGAAATAGCAAAAAGTTGACCCTGAAGTGCACATTTTTAATTTGCTCATTTTTAAGCCTCCTGGTGGCAGCTATATTTAGTTTGTTTGTGCCTCTAGCCAGCTAAGCAGTTGGTGATTAATATCAAACAGTTTAATATGAGCCAGTGCTCAGAATAAAACAACCTTTGCAGAAAACTTAGAAGACCGGTTTTGCCTGCAGATATAGCCTACTTTACAAACTTGAATTCACCTTGCAAATAATGTAATTCACAGGTTAGTAGACGGATATTTAATTTCATCAATTATCACAAATTAAAAAAGAGATGGAGGCTTGTTCAGAAGATAGCCGCTTACCATGTGAGGGGGTGGTGGTCTGGACAGCTATGGTAGCTGTAGCGGTGGTAGTAGTAGTAGTAGTAGTAGTTGTTGTAGTAGGTGTAGTAGGTGTAGTAGTAGTGGCGACTGTTGTTGTGGTTGGTGCAGCAGTTGTGACCACAAGGCTAACAGGTCCTGAGGTGACAGTGTAGGTTTTGGTAAACACACTGCCAATCACCGCTCTCTGATCAATGGAGCGGGTACACACATCAGGGCACTTCAGAGAGGGCAAGGTGGCGATGCACAGATTGACTGTGCACTGGATATACATCTGTAAAACACAACATAAATAGATGCAAGTGAGTGGTGTGAGGAGACAGCTCAAAAAGCATTTCATAACTGCAAGATATAGTTGATAGAATACTGTAACAATACATTTTGTCACTGTCCAAGTGTGGCTGTACTTAGCTAAATACTAATGTAAAATTAAAATTCTCCTCAGATTGGTCTTGGAAGATTTAAAACAATACCCAGAAGAAGAGAACTGCACAAATGTATTGTATGTGTGTGTTTGCATGAGAGTACAGACCGTTGATCCTTTGGTCTCCACGTTGCTTAAATCAAGGCGGTAAACCCTGGAATTTTTTTTTGATGTAATAACCTCTAATGTGCTGTTGGAGGTTGTACACCTGAAAGAAAAATAGTGAGAGAACTATTGTAATTTTTATGATATGCTTCAAATTCAGGTGTGACAGAAAAAAACCCGTCAATATTTATATTACAAATATTACAGGAAACAAGTTGATTGTCACTGACCCTTGCTCCAGAATGGGTTTGGATTGTGCAAAGTCCTCCGTCTCTGACTCCATACAATTGCTCACTATCATCTCGGCTCGATCAATGCTGCAGTTGGACAACACATGGAGATCCAGCTTGGTGACCTTGGACCCGATGGCATTGCCGGTAGAAGTGCTGGTGGAGGTGCTGTTAGTGGAGCCGGTAGAGGTGCTGTTAGTGGAGCCAGTGGAGGTCGTGTCGATTGTAGAAGATTCTGCTTCTCGGCGCACTCGGACTGGTGACATTTGGAGGCTGCGAAGCCTGGGGATGCGCGTGAAATTTGCCAGGGGCCCCTCTCCTGGAAAGTGAATTTCTATCCAATACCGAACATTACCGAAGGTCTCAGTCTCTGTGGGCATGCCGATCTTGTACTGCGGCCCTTTGGCCTGGACACCAGGGATACGGCAGGCCAGAGGGAGGACGAGGGAAGGCTGGCGGCTGACCATAGTGTAGGGACGCACACTTTGCAAGGTGTTGGTGTAAACCAGCTCGGAACCAGAGTGCTGGAAAAAATGAGAGAATGAGGAAGGGCATAGTCGTAATTCACATTCAGCAGTATTTTTGAATTTAATGAATAACTTAACACCAGACTGAAAAGCAACGTTTTACTGCCTTTTACGATTGAAATTGTCCAGACTGTGTCACCTTGGGTGTGGTCACAAGTGTGCTCTGTTGCACCTATAACCACACTTGTACAAGCAGAAGTTAAACCACTTGATGTCAGCAAAGACAAGATTTTCAGAGGGTGTTAAGTTACTGCTGTGATTCTTTTCTTAGTCATAGATAGATGGAGACAGGGAGATATACACAGCAGGAAAGGAAAAAAATTCCCAATTATTAGAAGTTTTTATTTTTATTTGTTGTGCCTTTTTATTGTAGTATATAAGTATGTGAATGCAACAAACTTGTCCCCTGTTCTCCCTTTGTGAGTGCACTAGAAACAGGATGTTTAATGTGTGTTTACATCCACATCTAATAAAACTTCAGCAATTAGTTTATCGATTAATTTATCTGGAAGTATTTTGATAATTGATTAGACATTTCCCACGTATGACAGTAAATTGAATATCTTCAGGTTTCAGAGTATTAGTTATACAAAACAAGCGAACTGAAGACATTATTATGGCCTCTGAGAAATTGTTGTATTTTCATTTTTTTTTTCACATTTCATAGACTAAACAATTAATTAATTAATTAAAAATGTTCTGCAGATTAAAAGGGAGGTCAATCATTCTGTAGAAAGACAGTTGATTGTTGTGTTTCATTCCCGGGTCATTAAATACAGACAATTTGAATTATGATAAATGGGAAACAAAGGGGCTCAGAGCGAGCCACACTGTTTCTGGCTGTTGCTGAGT